CCTGTGGTCCCAGCTACTTGGGAGGCTGAGGCAGGAGACTGGCTTGAGCCCAGGAGTTGGAGGTTGCTGTGAGCTGTGATGCCACAGCACGCTACCCAGGTGGACAGCTTGCAGCTCTGTCTCAAAAAAAAAAAAGTCTCTTTGTTTTATGTTTTGGGGGATTTATTTGTTTTTGTTATTGGGGATTTTTGGTTAAAGGTGGGGTTCTTCTCCCACCTCATCTACTCCTGGGGAAACATAATAGTATTCAGGAGCTTAAGAACGTAATTAACAGGGTGTTGGGACCCTAATAACCCAAACTTGGAAGGGAAAAGAATGTTCCTAAATGGCTTTTTCCTTTTCCTCTTTACTTAGAAAGGGGCTCCCTGTTCCCAGCCGCTGCACTGGCAGATGCTATCTTAGGACAAAGGCCCTTCTTACCAGCCCACCCTAACCCCAGGGTGCCTAACCCAGCAGCCAAAGAATGGGAAGTTTTGTTAAAGATTTCTTACCTACTCTCTGCTTCAGGAACACTTTCCTCCCCTAGAAACCTGTTCTTAGAGATTGTCTACTAAATTCCTTTACCATTAGATTTCTAGAGTTATTTTAACTTTCTCAACTGCAGGGGCTGGAATCACTAGTCTAACTTACTGCCAAGGTGGGAGTTTTAGGACCAACATCCTATCATAAAGACAGAGCTACAAGATAAAGACTCAGGAATTCCCATCTGTTATTGTGCTCTTTGACTAGAGTTGGGAGAGCTGGGGATTAGCGAGACAGATTCTTTATTCTATTTCAGCTCAGCTCCTTTCTGATAACTTATTTAACTGTGGGTCCCTGGACATTCCAAGAACCTAAAAGTCCAAAGTATGTCCAAGCTAGCCCATCTGAAACAGCACAGTAAAGGATCCACTGCCCTAGCCTGCTTTCCTCAAACCATCCAATCATTTTCCAATTGCTCTGGATCCTAAGACTGAGCCTGCTGAAGCACAAATTACCATTTGTTCAGAAAAACCCTCCTTGATATATCACAAGGATCCCCAGATGAGAGGATCTTTCCCCTCAGCCTTTGGAGAGAAGATCAGAAAATGCTGGATCTGACTTTTTTTTCCAGCCTCCCAAAGTTAGGGAGTCCAGTCTCCAAACCAGGAAAGATTTTAATCTCTTTGTGATCAGATAAATGAGAGAGTGGAGAAGGCTTGCCACCCTGCTGAGGAGGGCCATTCAAAGCTGGTTCCTGTAATAAAGTGATTTAATAGATCTAAAGAGGCCAATTCCCTTCTTTCTCCCACAATTACTTCCTGTGGGTTATCATTCACATATGTAAATGAGGGGGGGTGAAGCTAAGTCAGAAACTTTAATGGGAGGGTGGTGAAACAGGGTGTTACAGGGGATAGCTAAGCATCCTGCTCAGATCCTTTAGGCAGATAGATGCTCAAGTAGCCCAGTTACCCCCATGGTCCCAACAGTAACTGGAGCGTCCTCACCTCCCTGCATCCTCTGTCTCTTGTTCACCCCACTCAACTTCCTCGCTGAAGGCTCAGAAACTTCCTTGCTGCCTCCAACCAGTCCACCCAGCATCTCCTTTCTCCACCCCTCCCCCCCCCAGAATGCCATCCCTCTGGCTCCAACCCTTAATCCCCACATCCTCCTTTCCCCTCCCCCACGCCTCCTAAAGCCAACCTCCCTGAAGTAACCCCTCCCTGTCCGGCGTGGGTGTCAACCCACAGGGCCTGAGATTAGCAACTTGTGCTTTCTAGGTCCTGTCCAAACCTCCACTAGTGGGAGGGATGCAGGCAGCAAGCAACTTCCTCTCTAAGGTCTTTATGGTGGCCCAGGACCACCGGAATGCCTCTGGATATTCAGGAAAGGGAAGCCTGGGAGGAGAGAGACCTAAGTCTCTGGCTTCTTGTTTGAGGTCAGGAATGTTAGGACAGCAATCAATGGCTGTCTGGGGCCATAAATGCCAAACTGAGGAGAATAGGTCCAGAGGCCAGCCTCCCTCCACCCCCTGCCCTGCGACACTGAATTTCAACCCCCACTGTGCTGCCCTGCTTTAGAACTTGGGATTGTGACCTACCCAATTCCCTCCCCGCCCCAATGGGCCAAGAATGTTAGTGAGGCCTGGGCTCCTTAGGCTTCCCTTAGGAGAAGGAACTGGACAACCAAAAGCCTCCTGTTCCTTAACTACAGATAACAAGTACTCTGGAGGAGCTCTCAGGCCTCCACATGCATCCTTTGGGGGAATCTGCCAAACTTACCCAGGCCCCAAGGCCTGAGTTTTGGATGACCACCTGGGTGAGATGTTTGACTGGGGGACATGGCTGACTTCTCGGCTTTATGCCCCTTGGGTCCAGTAACCAGTTCCCCTCACTCTCTCCCGCCCTCTGAGCTCCATTCAGACGTTAAAAGCGATGGGCGCTCAGGGCTCGGCTCAGGCCCTGCATGTGCTTCCCTGGCCGGCCTGCTCACCCTCCCCCACCGGCAAGCACAATACAACCTTAGTTTCGGCCTCACGGGGTCACCTCCTTGCCCCCTGCCCCCTTCCCAGGGGAAAGAGGTAATAGACACGTGGTAAGCCGGAGGGGTTCCCGGAAGGGGGCGGGTGGTGCTGGAAATTGGTGCTGCCTCCCATTCTCGCCCCGTTGTAAGTAACAAGAACTCAGAATTGAGGTGACACAGCAAAGCTGGGGGCGCACAATAAGGTCCCGATCCTCAATTCAACAGCCAAGCACGACTGCCCATCCGTGGTTATACGCTCCTAGACTTTTCCCCCGAAAAGTTACCAGAATCAGTCTCACCTGGTGCACAAAGACGTCCACTGGAGGGTCGAGCGCGACCCCAGCGCGGGCGGTCATGGACAGGAAGCCGAACCCCATGCGCACGTTGAACCACTTACAGATGCCGGCACCGTGTAAAAGCTGCGGCTCGTCTGCTGCCCGGGCCGCGTCCTCCGGCGCCTCCTCGGGCGCCTCCTCCGCCGCCTTGGCGCAGCCACCTGGAGATAGTGAGGACCCGGCCCTCGACTCAGCTGGGGGCCACGGAATTGGAGGGCCCTCCCAGGGAGACCCAAAAGTCCAGCCCCATGGGTGGACACCCAGTAAGGGGCTGCTACCAATAGCCAGCGAGAAGAAACCTGTCTTGGCCGTCTCCCGCGCTCCCCATGCTTACACCGAGGCCAGTGGTGCCCCGAAAGTTTTGCTCCTTTTCCCGCAATACGTTTCCTGGGGACACACTGCCGGACAGACCCCTCCTCTTCACTACCTCCGCCCTCGTAGCCTCCGCGTGCACGCCACTGGGACACCAGGGTTCCTTGCTCCAGAGGTGGCCCCACGACGTAGGAGGCCGAATTGACCTGGGGTCCTACGGGCAGCCCAGGGGTCACTTCCCCTTCTCCTTTCTATGTACCTCCTGGCCGCCCCTGCATCCTAAGGTGTCCCTGCTAACTCCCGAGCTCGAACCTGCAAACTGCTGGTTGGACACTGAGCCCATGGTCGTCGGCTGAGCCCGCGGCCCCTGGCCCCTGCTCAGGCGGCTGCTGGCCCCAGAGAAGTCCGGAGGCAAAGGGGTGGTTCGGAGAAGAGGCAGCTACATCTTCCCCCGCACAATAGCGGTGGGAGGGCCCACGGCTTTTCAAAGGCTCCCAAATTCTAAAAGACAATGACCCAACCCCCCGCGGGCAGCCCCCTCCCCTCCCCTCTCTCCTTTCCCCTCCCTTTCCCTCAGGCTCTAGCGCGGGCCCTCCCCCCACCGCTCTGGTCTCTGACACCTCTGGGGTGTCCCTTCTCAGAACCTAGAGGTTTGACACCCCCTCCACACACACATCTGGAGGTTAAAGCCGTCTGCCCCCAGAAGTCGGGGACCCCAAAATTTGGGATCCCGTACTTTAAGGACTCAGTAGGGGTCCCCAAGGCAGATACAGGTGGAGGAAATGGGGGGATAGTTTTAAAAACACGTGACTGCTCCCACAATCACTCACACACCACCCCCACCCCCCGCGCAGATAATTATACATTCCAGAGAGTTGGGGGAGGGAGGTGTGAGCCTGGCAGCACTGGCCAATCAGAAACACAAACCACCTGTCAAGGGAGAAATGGATGAGCCCTCCCCCTCCCCCAGCTCTTGAGCGCCCCTCCCCCTTCCTTCCCCCTCAGGCCACTGAGCTGACCCGGCTGCTTGGAGCTGCTGACCCACTCTCACCCCCCACCCTCGTGTGCTTAGATAGACCTGGAGTTCTGGACACCAGGAAGCCTAGATGGGGGAGCAGGGGAGTCTGGAGACCAGTAGGGCTGATCTGTCCTAGACCGAGGGGCTTCCTCTCACTACAACTGAATGTCTCTTCCTCCCAGTTTCCGACTCAGAGTTTTTCTGGAACTCTCCCAATGAGAAAAGAGAAAGTACTCTTAATTGATTTTGTGTAAAGAACCCTTCTTTCCTTCCTATTAAATCTTTGTCTAAAGTTGACCCCAGGTAGAGCTCCTTGGGAGAGCAGAAAGAACTCAAAGAGTCTTGAAGTGTGTTTCTCTATCCCTCAGCTATTCTCCTCACCCTACCCCCACCCCATCCCCGTCCACAGCTACCAGAGGGACTGGGTGGATTGGTGGGCAGAGGCACTTCCTCCTGTACTTCCAACACTTAGATTCCCAGGCCCACCATGTTTCAGAGTCGCCGACCTAAAATTAACTCCCCTCCTAGCCGGGTTGGTGCAGAAACGGACTAGGGGCTCTCCTCATTTGAAAAGGTAGCCTCCACTTATAGCACATAAAGAGGGCTGTCCAGGGGGGTGGCTACTGCTCTGGTCGGAGGTGGACAATGGCCCGGGGCTCAGTGCACGGCCCTGGCCCTGCCCCTTCACTTCCGGTGCTCAGTTCAAACTGGACAATGCCAGCTCCGGCCAGTTCCCCTCCCCCACCACTACAACCCATTTAAAGGGACAGAACCTGCTTTAGGGGGCATCCACTCGCTTTGAATTCATTCTTGCCACCAAGTGCGCAGAACCTCTTGAGCTCCTCTTGCTGCAGCCGTGTGTGTGTGTGTGTGTGTGTCTGTCTGTATTTTAGAGGGAGAGATGATTGTGGGTAGACGGGGAGTAGAGCAAGAGACGGGAGAAATTATCTCCCTTTCTTTCCTATGGAGTGCTCTCCAGGAGACTAAAACTTGAGTGTAGAAACAGGAGAGAGGACTTTGGAGGATAAAGAGGACAGCTATGGCCCTTTAATACTCAGCCTAAAAAATATATATGGTTAACAAATATTATTAGCAGTGCCCCACTCCCAACTGAGCATTCTAATTTAGATCTTCCAATACTTTTCTTAGCACATTGGCCAAAGCCGATTTTTATTTACAAAATTGTCCCCACCTGAGAGTCTTACCGCCCCCATTCTAGCGCCCTTAAAATGTAATCAGGTACTCCCTTTACTTCTGTAACAAAGATTTAGGAACAGATGGCTGAGGTCTGAAGAAAAGAAGGAAGAAGTTGAGCGCGCAGGCTTCGTTTGGTCGGTTTTCAAGGGATGTTCAGTTCTCGCGGCAGACTCGACCAGCTTCTCTGTCCAGGGTGCTGAGGGCGTCCGTAGCTCTGTCCACGGTGCTGAATTAAGCAACGCTCTCTGCGCTGCCAGCTCACAGCTTTGACAATGGCTTCTTGAGCTCCCACATCCAAGTCCTTCCCAGAAAGCCTGATTCTCCTCAGTTCCCCACCCCAGGAACACTGACACACTTGAGACAAATTGAAGAGACTTTTGAACACTAAAGAGTAGCATTTCCAGTAATGCATGATTCTGTAAGAGTCATTTGTGTATCGCAAACTCCCTTTCAGAAAAATGGGTAAATCTACCCATAAGGTGATAGAGAGTGAGGAAAAAGGAGATAATTTCTTTGTTTTTTTGTTTTGTTTTGAGACAGAATCTCACTTTGTTGCCCTCATTCGAGTGCTGTGGTGTCATAGCTCACAGCAACCTCACATTCTTAGGGTCAAGCTATCCTCTTGCCTCAGCCTCCCAAGTAGCTGGGACTACAGGTGCCTGCCACAATGCCTAGCTATTTTTTTTTTTTTTTGAGACAGGGTCTTGCACTAGCTCAGGCTGATCTTGAACCTGTGAGCTCAGGCAATCCACCCACCTTGGCCTCCCAGAGTGCTAGGGTTACAGGCATGAGCCACTGTGCCCGGCCGAGATAATTTTTTTGAACCAAACACTATCAGAACATAATAGAGACAAATCTCTGTTTTCAAATTATTTTCTTAATTACTAGTACTTTTCTTGAAACAGAGTCTTACTTTCTTGCCCCATTGGAGTGCTATGGCATCATAGCTTACAGCAACCTCAAACTCTTGGGCTCAAGCTATCCTCTTACCTCAGCCTCCTAAGTAGCTGGGACTACAGGCACCCACCACAATGCCTGGCTAATTTTGTTTTTTTAAGACAGGTCTCATTCTTGCTAAGGCTGATCTCAAACTTGTGAGCTCAAGTGATCCACCCGCCTTGGTCTCGCAGAGTGCTGGGATTATAGGCGTGAGCCACCATGCCCAGCCTGTTAGTGCTTTTCATAGGTCCACAGGCATTGGAGTCAGGTTACCCTGGTTTCAATGTCAGCTCTACTATTTTTTTTTTTTTTGACAGACAGGACCCTCAAGCTGTCCCTGTGGGTAGAGTGCTGTGGCATCACAGCTCGCAGCAATCTCCAACTCCTGGGCTCAAGCAAGTCTCCTGCCTCTGCCTCTCGAGTAGCTGGGACCACAGGCACCCGCCACAACACCCGGCTATTTTTTTTTTTTTTTTTGGTTGCAGCCGTCACTGTTGTTTGGCGGGCCTGGGCTGGATTCGAACCTGCCACCTTGGGTGTATGTGGCTGGTGCCTTAGCCACTTGAGCCACAGGTGCCAAGCTGTCAGCTCTCCTATTTACAGCTCTGTGACCTGAGGCAACTTCCTTAACCTCTATGTGCCTCAGTTTCTTCCTCTGTCCAGTGGGAATAATGATGATACTTAGCTCTCAGAGATGCTTAAGTATGAAGTAAGATCATGTAGACAAAACCTTTAGAATAATATATGACATATCACTTCTCAGCCTTTTGGCTAAGATGAAGTGTAAACTAGTGCTTGATATATAGTTAGTTCTTAATAATGTAAGTTATTACTATTAGTAATGTTATTGCTTGTCTCTATAATCTAGTTTCTAGATCATTTGCTTCCTGAGGAATGTTACCTTAATGTGTTTTTTGACTCTACATGTTTTCCCCACATCTTTCCCAGTACCCAGTGCCCACAGAAGTCACCTCAGAAAGTTTCCTGAACAGGCTTTAATTGAAATAATGAACATTGTTCTTTTTTTTTTTTTTTTTAAGAGACAGAGTCTTACTTTGTCACCCTCGGTACAGTGCTGTGGCATTACAGTGAGACAGAATCTCACTTTGTTGCCCTCATTCGAGTGCTGTGGTGTCATAGCTCACAGCAACCTCCAACTCCTGGGCTCAAGTGAGTCTCCTGCCTCAGCCTCCCAAGTAGCTGGGACCACAGGTGCCCACCACAACACCTGGC